AAACTTAAAATTTGAGATAGTTCATCTCTTTAAAAATTTCAAGTAGTTTTTCTATCTAAAATTTGATATATTTCTCTATCTAAAGTTTTGAGATATTTTCTCTCTCTGTTTGATACCGGGAAGCAAATCCATGAATGGTAAATTGGAAGTTCCTGAAGAACTGTAAATTAGAAGTTCCTGAAGAACTGTAAATTGGAAGTTACTCAAGAAGTTCATAGCTTCTGTGTTTGATAAACTCCCTGAGAAGTTAAGAAGTTCTTGGCTTTTGTATTTGATAACCTCATGGGAAGTTAAGAAGTTCCTGGTTTCTTGTTTAATAACCTCTTGACAAGTTAAAAAAGAACTGGATATCTATATCTTGGGAAGTTAAGAAGTTCCTTGTTTCTTATTTGATAACCTCTTGAGAAGTTAAAGAAAAACTGGATATCTGTATTGGATTATCTTTAAATAATAAGGAATATGTAAATGTTATAATTGAGACTTAGATATGTATTTTTTATTAATTTGTATAATTTTATTTTTTGGAATACAATATCAATTGAAAGCAAAGTACGTTTGATTTAAAGAGAGAAAGAGAGAGAATTTTAAATTGATGCCTGATAAGCGTCCTAGAGAGAGATACATTTGTACACCAATTGAGGCAAATGTTTCATGATAAACTTTTAGAGCTCCAGAACAAACACAAAGATCAATAGATTTAAACAGAGCTCAATAAAAAATATATGTCCCACCTAAAAATAACTGTAAATAGATATCAAAGCTCAGAGTAAAAAAAAAGAACAAAGACAAAGATCAATAAATTTAAACAGAGCTCAATAAAAAATGCATGTTCCATCTAAAAATTACCGTAAACAGAGATCAAAGCTCATAGTAAAAAAAACAAAAACAAACACAGAGATCAATAGATTTAAACAGAGCTCAATAAAAAGTATATGGTCTATCTAAAAATATCTGTAAACAGAGATCAAAGTAAAAAAAGCAAGAACAAACACAGAGATCAATAGATTTAAACAAAACTCAATAAAAAATATATGGTCCATCTAAAAATAACTGTAAACAGAGATCAGAGCTGAGAGTAAAAAAAATCAAGAACAAATACATAGATCAATAGATTAAATAGAGCTCAATAAAAAATGTATGGTCCATCTTAAAGTTATTGTAAACAGATATCAGAGCTCAAAGTATTGCCATACAAAGTCTTGCCAAAAACAAAGAAAAAGCACAAAACTATATAAACAATTTTTAGAAATTGTCAATAAAGAACACCGCATGGAAATCATATATAGATCAACACCAGAAGTATATACGAACAAACACCAGTCCAATGAAATTTAGGGCTTTTGCCAAAATTCACAATTTACATTTGGGACTTCCACATAAAGCAGGACCATGGAGAAGGAACCCACAAAATCAATGAATAACAAATAAATACAGAAAAATTGAATAATGCAAAAAATAAGGAAACCATATGATTCCATAATGTGGGCAACCTAGAATTTCTCCCACATATGATAAACCAAATCAAGCATTGTTAGCACTAAAAAAAGCGATAACAACCAATATCACAGGATCTTAGAAGATCTTCGCATAGAGAAACCCTAATTTTTCGCGCAAGAGACATAGGTATATAGAAAAAAAAAACCATACCTTTTAATGGAGGGTGGGAGGTTGGTGACTCAAGCCTAGGAACAATGGAGCTTGACCTACTGATGATTCCCCAAATAATAGATTTTTCGAGCTCTTTCTCTTGTGTAAGAGAGGGCTCTCTGTGAACGGCGAACTCTCTTTTTCTGTGTGAGAGATGGCAGAGGGAGGGCTATGTGCAAACTGCGAGCTCTTTTCTGTGTGAGAGATGGTGGAGGAGGACTCTGCGAACTGCTACGGCTTCTGCAAAATGCTAAGGAACTAGGGGGGTGGCGGGGACGGGTAATAAAAAAAGTTCCAAGTTTAAGTCCCGAACTAGTTTTTTTTAACGTGAGATTGTAACATGAATAGTTCGTTGAAGTTTTGTTTGAAGTTCTTTTTTTTTATCAAACACGAAACTTGAACAGTATTAAGAAGTTCTCAACTTTTAGGAAGACATTTAGTATACTCTCTTTCTAAAACTTAAAATTTGAGATAGTTTCTCTATCAAATTTTTTTTAAATAGTTTCTCTCTAAAAAATTTAGATACCTTTTTCTATCTAAAATTTGATATAATTTATATATTAAAGTTTTAAAATATGTTTTCTCTCTAAAACTTAAAATTTGAGATACTTTCTCTCTCTAAAAATTTTCAAATATTTTCTCTATCTAAAATTTGATATAATTTCTAATTTCTAAAATTTTATTATGCCCTCTCTCTAAAACTTAAAATTTGGAAATAATTTCTCTTTCTAAATGCTTTGAGACTAAAAATTTTAAGTAGTTCTTCTCTCTAAAATTTAATGTAGTTTTTCTCTCTAAAATTTTAATAAACTTTATCTCTCTGGAACTTAAGATTTGATATAGTTTCTCTCTCTAAAATTTTAATTTGACCTCTTTAAAACTTTAAAATTGAGATAGTTTCAATCTCTAAAAATTATATGTTTTTTCTCTCTAAAATTTGATATAGTTTTCCTCTCAAAAATTTTAATGTGTTTTTTCCCCTAAAATTTGCTATAGTTTCCCTATCTAAAATTTTAATATATTTGTTTGTTTTCAGCAGCAAAATGGGTCATTTGCAAAATTTAAGCTTAAAATAAGCATTGAGGAATCCTATGGAAATCTCAATTCCAAGGAATGTCAATTCTAAGCGAATCAAATACGACTGGCCCAGCTTTTTCAGGAATAGTGACTCCTATAAATCTGAATCCAAGGAACCAAACAGGCCCTAAAAGACGGTCCATTTGCCCCTCTACATGAGTTTGAAGAAGTAAAAAAAAAAAAAATTCCAAAGAAGTTTAATATCTTAAAAATGATATTTTTTAAGACTTTCTTCCAGAAAAGCTCTAAAAATAATAGTAGCAGTAACTACCTATTTCAGCTTGGATTGAAGGTTGGATTCCATAAAATGAGGCATCCAACATGAGCCCCTCTTTACCACTTGGGAATCAGATGCTGCCAACTTTTATGTAGTGGAAAACACTCACTCTGCCTTATCATCATATTGCCATTGGAATAAAATGACTAAAATATCTCTCAGAAAGCATCCTTTTCGTCAAACATTAGATCTCTTATTGTGAACTATTAGATCACTTTGATTTGATGTGATAAGTTTGAAATTTAATGGTGTGGTGATGGAGAACAGAAGGCACATTCCTGATCTTTTAAAAGAACATGGACCTCTTTCTCACATATCTGAGACTTGAACATCTGAAATTCCCTACTATATCCATGATAGGAAAATATACAGTACTCTCATAGGAGTGCTATTTGGTGTGCTCAGACAGGCCATCCACGGCCTGGTATTATAAATAAATGATGATGATGATGATCTATTTTCCTTTTGTTGATTCCTGTCAGTAAAAGCAGCTGATCTCTATCGAATACCGACTATTGAAGGTTCAGATGGTCGGAAAGAGAATCCCACTATACGAAAGCTTTTTCTCAAAAGAATTTACTTGCATCACCTCTAAACCATCCAATGAGGTCAATCATTTTAGACTCATTGAGGAAATGATATCTGCTTTCTATCCTTTGGATTGGCAAAAAGGGCATGAAACTTAGAATATGAGATGTGTAACTGCATAGAGATCTTCTAAGGATGTTTAAACTATTGTAAACTTTTCAATAGCGATTGAAATTACAACTAGGGTATTGTTTGACATGTTGCATGCAGCTCATAAGCACTATGCTAAATGTTTCCTCAAGCCAACTGTTGTTGGGCAATAAAGGCTTAACATGAAGTGTCTTGCTATGCTTTGATGAAGGAGTGGTTCATTTCAATCTTTCATCATTGAAAATGATGCATGATAGTTTTTTCATATGCTACATGAATCATGTTATACTTTCCTTTGTTGGAAAGTATTTACTTTTTTTTTGAGTGATTTACTAACGAATCCAAAAATTTTAAGTAAAATACAAAATGCTCGTTTATGGGTGAAAATTACATAGAAGGTTGGTCTACCCATATGTAAATCACTCCTTCTTTAGTGAAAATTACAAAGAAGGTTGATCAACCCATACGTAAATCACTCGTTCCTTAGAATCTGTATGTAAATCACTCTTTTTGTTTCTCATGACTTCCCAACAACAAATTAAATTAAGTTTGCCAATAACTAATAATAAAAATCAGGGCACTTCAAATATATCAAGAAAAGTTGGGCAATCTAATACCTTTTTTCACTTTTAGAAGTTAGCATTCTCAACTTCACCTTCTTAACGAGAGAGAGAGAGAGAGAGAGAGAGAGAGAGAGAGAGAGAGAGAGAGAGAGAGAGAGAGAGAGAGAGAGAGAGAGAGAGAGAGAGAGAGAGAGAGAGAGAGAGAGAGAGAGAGAGAGAGGAG